TTATATTTACAAGATCAGACCCTGGTTTGTTAAATATACATAATCTAAAGGGCTAGTTAAGGAGAGAATTTAATGCTGTAAAGAGCTTAACTTCCTTATTCTACTATGATCTGCTTACTGAGTCTAAAAGGCACATGCTTCATTAACTTACTTAAAGGTTTTAGTTCAAAGCAACTGCACAGCTTTTAACTTCTCATTGAAAATCACATATAATTCATGGGCTGGGTAAAGTCATATTTCAATTACCTGAGTAAAATGTAAATATACAAGGATTAAGAACTGATATACTGATATCAGGTACCAATAGCTGTACTGATAATTATTTTGGTAAGAATCAAAAAAAAAAAAAAAAAAAAAAAACCAAACAACAAAAAACAAACCCACTGCCATCAAGCTGATTCTAGCTCATAGCAACCCTGTATGACAGAATAGAACACCCCAGAGGGTTTCCAAAGCTCTAAATCTTTACACAAGCAGAATGCCACATCTTTCTTGGCACAGAGTCAACTAGCCAACCTTTAGGTTGGCAGATGAGTGTTTTAACCTCTACACCACCAGCCTCCCTAAGTGAATATACTGTAAAAAATAACTTTGTTTCCTTGATGACAAGTAGCACAAGCACCTGATACCACTTCAGGACTCAACTTTTCAAGAGAAAAGGCCTTCATATATAAGAAAAGATTGCTTTTTACATTATTTCAGTCATGGTTAATACCAGTCAGTAAGGATGAAAAAGGTTCTGTTGATAAGCCTTTAAGTAAATGACTGTTGTCCATTAAGAATTCAACCCTAACTCATTACCAAATTGTTTGTCTTAAATTATCTATACATGAGTACATGAAATTGAATTGGAAAGTAGTTCTCAGTGAATTTATTCTTCTGTTTCCATGGAAACAGATGTTGGATTGCCTTTCTTTAAGATTGGTTTTGAAGTTGAAAACTATAATACATTAATATTCAATATGTTAAAAAGTGAATATATGTCCTAGATTTCCTAAATTACTGGATTTGGAAACAATCGTTCATAACACTTATATATACCTCAGGTAGAGAACCTTCTCTTTTCTGATTCCCTCTCTCCACCCTCCCATCCTGTTTCCATGGAGTGGATTGAGAGTTGGAGTCTTCCGATGGACTTAAGTCCTTACATCAATACTTACATAACTATGTGATCAAGAGGCCAATCACTTAAACTTTCTACACAGTAATTTTCCCATTATACTTGAGAAAACGACACCCAAGATATGGTGTTGTGATTTTTAAAATTATATAGTTCTTATAAAGCAATGTTGCATATGTTTGAAATAGTAGGCGATCGATAAGTGGCAGTGATAATTTATTGACAATAAATTATCATACCAGTCACTCTGTGGTAGAAAGATCAAGCAATCTGCTTCTGTAAAGAAATATAGCCTTGAAAATCCTATGGGTCAATTCTGTTCTATCCTGTACAGTCACTATGAATCTGAATTGACTTGATAGCAGTGTTTTTTTGTTTGTTTTGTTTTTTGCTTGTTTGTTTATTCTTTTGGTGTTATGTAATATTTACAACTCCTTGCCAGGCATTGTACTCACCAAAAACCAAACCAAACTCAATGCTGTCGAGTGCATTCTGACTCATAACAACCCCTCCTTGGATTTCTGAGGTGGTGTTTCTACAAAAGTAGATTCCCCAGTCTTCCTTCGAAGGAGTGGCTGGTGGATTTGAACCACCAGCCTTCTGGTTATCAGGCACTACACCACCAGAGCTCCTGACATTGTCCTAGGTACTCTATTATCTTCAATCTTGACTATAACCCTTACCATAGAGTCAGTTCTGACTCATGGTGACCCATGTGTGTCAAGTTGAAATGTGCTCCAAAGTATTATTTAATGGCTGAATTTTCAGAAGTAAACCACCAGCTTTCCTTCTGGAGTACATTAATTGTTTGCACCACCCAGGGACTCAGTGTCTGCAGAGGCCTGGTTCCAGGAGCCCCATGGACATCAAAATCTGGTCAAGTCCTTTATATAAAAGTGGCATAATATTTGCATATAATCTATGTACTTCCTCCCATATATTTTAAATCATCTCTAGAATATTTATTATACCCAACACAACGTAATGCTACATAAATAGGATTCTATGCTAACCAGAAGACTGGCCGTTCAAACCCACTAGCCACTCCTCGGAAGGAAGATGGGGCAATCTACTTCCATAGTGATACTGCCTCAGAAACTCAAGGAGGGGTCGCTATGAGTCGGGTCCGATTCGACGGCACATAACAACAACAACATGCTCCCTCTTAGCCTTTGAAGGATTATTTTGACTACTTAGTAGCTTTTTAGGAGACATTACCCATATCTAAGCCCCAAAATGTTTCCCAAATATTTTGGTAGTTTGAATCTGTGGATATAGAACCTGTGGATACAGAGGGCAGACTGTATTATTATCTTTATTCTGTTGACAAAGGCATTGGAGAGGATACCTGGGACTATTCAAGTCTTAAGCTGTGAGGCAGCTTTGAATTTTTTTTAATTCTTTTCTGCCTGATTCCAGAGTCTGGGCTTTTTCCAATATAACATGTTGCCTTTCCTGGACAAGTTTCAAAAACTCAGAAAGATTCATTTGCTCTCTTATAAAGCATTTCAAAGTATTTCTATAAATTAAAATATGGGCACCTGATTCATTAAATTCTCTATACAACGTACTAATTTTAAATTAGATAACTTCTATAATGGATCCAACCAAACAAAACAAAATTAGAACATAGCTAATTTAAAATTAATAGGTTGTATAAGTGCCTTATACAACCTATACTCTGTTTTATTTTGACTTTTTTCAGAAAATCAATTAGATTTCCCTGATGTTATACAGGGAAGCACAAAATTGGAATTTTAACTTGCAATCAAATATCTAGGTTCTGTTTGAGAGCCCCGAGTCATTCTCAAGAGTCACATTGGTAACCCTAAAGAATTGTCAAACAATAATCTTTGCTCATCTCTGCTTTGGTCTCATCTCTGGTCTTACCAGAGGAATCAATGTTTATTCATCAGTTGTGTCCCTTGACTAGAGTGGGAGAAATATTCTACCACAAGAATAAAAAAAAGTTCTTCTCCTAAGGGTAAAGTCAGGTTAGTGAATGTTCAAACAAACTTTTAAATAGAGACAAGAGTCATTTAACAGTGAATCACCAGTATAACTTGATTATAATCACAGTAATACACAAGCCACCACAGTACAACAAATTGACAGACAAGTGGTAGCGATTATATTAGATAAAATGTAAACAATGTTCTGGAGTTTAAAAAGCACTGTCATATATTCTATGTACTGAATATAAAACTCTCTGAGATTAGTGCTAGTTGGGAAAACTGCATATTTGAAAACAACAGCAATGACAATGCCCCCTCCCCAACGAAATAAGCAATAAACAAAACCCTAAAGCACAGGACTGCTAAGTGACTAGTCAAAACACACAGCTCGAAAGTAGTAATGCCAGTGTCATTACACATGGTTCTTTGCATTCAGCTCCTCAGACTAAGAGTAAATATTTGTAAATTGAAATGATTTATGGAGAGATATTTATATGACCAATGAGGAAGTGGAAATTTGGCAAATGGGACATGGATATGCCATTGAACAGCAGTTGTTAAAGATAATGCAGCTACTACTCCATTAGCAATTTTTTTTCTTCATTGTTTTCCAGTTAATTATATGCTATGGATTAAAGTTGCAGAGGAGTAGGGTAGATTACCCAAAAGGTATTTTTTTGAGCCATATTATAAGTTTTCAGATATTCTATAATTATACCTAAAAAACAGCAATTTCAACCTCAGAACAAATCTAATTAATAATTAGTTCCTAGTACATTACATATTGAGGGGTCTCTGTTGGTTCAGTGGTTAAGGCATTAAACTGCTAACAAAAAGGTCAGCAGTTTGAACCTACCAGCTGCTCTGCAGAAGAAAGAAGAGGCTGTCTGCTTCAGTAAGGATTTATAGCCTTGGAAACTCTATGGGGCAGTTCTACTCTGTTCTATAGGGTTGCTGTCAGTTGGAATCAACTTGATGGCAGTTGGTTTGGTAATGCATTAAATTATTTCTGTTTGCTACTATGTTACAACTAATATTAAAATTAATTTTGATTTCCAAACCCAATCTCTATTCAGTGAGAAATTACTAATATGTAACATATAATTCACAAGGGAATAATTCTTATTTTGAACAATTGAATAGATGTTATATATGTGTTCATGTAGTTATGATGAAACCAACTGTATAGTTTTAAATATAATAGTTTGGAAAGGTATAGATCAAAGTGTTTCAGAGATTTTACACAATCAATATAATTTTAATAATAATATTGAGATATTATTTGCCATTTCTCATTCTCACTGTCTCATCAGTGTATAAGGAATTTTCCAGAGGTGAGATATATATGAAACAGGGTAAGTTATATGAGAACAAATTGAATGCCAAAGCAGACATGAGAATCTAGCTGTCTTCTATTAAGCCATATATTAACAAAATTTACAAAAATGAAAAACAATGCTAGTCTTGTAATTGTTTTCATTTTGGAAAACATAACTATTTTTCATAAAAATACATTCTCCATATTAACATATAATAGGTTATTGCATCATCACTTTTAATAAACTAATAAATAATTTTTAAAGTTCTCACTTTCAGTTTCAATACTGCAAATATTAATAGATGTAACCTACATAAATAAAAACTGTTTGGGGTCCACAATACATTTTTGATAAGAACTTTTAGGACCATTGATACAGAAACAAGAGAATACTGTTTGTTCAGTATGAAACTTTCCCTTTACTGTTTATTCCCAATGATGAAGACCTATGTGGTCCTTGTAAAAAGGAGAAGTCATTTCAAATAGATCTATTTTTTTAAAAAACACTTGAAGCATTTTATTCATAACATGAAAAATATGGAGCTCCTTAGAAATTGCTCCATTTGCAAAATATATTTATAACTTAACCAAAATAAATAATTCATACCTCACCAAGTGAGTAATAGCGTCTTGGGATCTGGGAGTCCGGATAAATGTTTTCTAGGTACCAGGAAAAAGGCTTACACTTCAGATTTTCTCTTAATGTTTTTCTGACTGACACATCTCCATAATCCACTTTGACAACACCTGAAACATTTCACAGAAACACATAAATCAGTTTGTGCTATTTTCATTTTAGCACTGTCACTGCTTACTACCAGTTTTTTCTATAATTATAATTCCATCAAATTAAATTGAATATGAAGCTGCTACTACATTGATTTTCTTACTATCATTCAACTAGTAAATTAAAAAGATATTTAAAAAAAAAAAACTGCCTTCATTGGTTCTGACTTTTCAAGTGCAATTATTTACCACCAAGTAGTTATGATTCTTAGATTGAAAAATTAACCGGCTAGGAAAAATTGGTATTAATTTATCATCTCGCAAACAAAGCAAAACTGAGCTGTATGATAGTATCTGTTTTCCTTTAATAAAATTTTAATAGGTCATTTTCCCATAAGTGGCCTGAGATGATCTTGCAAAATGGTTCGCTGCTCACTTGACCCAGAAAACCCCACAAGATCAAGAAAATCAAGAGGTTCAAATGTTCAGGTCAATTTTAAGAATATCTGTGAAACTGCCCATGCTATCAAGGGTATGCATATCCAAAAAGCCACCAAGTATTTGAAAGATGCCACTTTGCAGAAGCAATGTGTGCCATTCTGATGTTACGATGCTGGAGTTGGTAGGTGTGCCCAGGCCAAACATTGGGGTTGGACAGAGGGTCGGTGGCCCAAAAAGAGTGCTGAATTTTTGCTGCACATGTTTAAAAGTGCAGTGTAATGCTGAATTTAAGGGTTTAGATGTAGATTCTCTGGTCATTGAGCACATCCAGGTGAACAAAGCCCGCATGATGCACCGCCACACTTACAGAGCTCAGGGTTGGATAAACCTATGTATGAGCTCTCGCTGCCACACTGAGATGATCCTTACTGAAAAGGAAAAAACTGTTCATAAACCAGAAGAGGAGGTTGCACAAAAGAAAAAGATATCCCAGAAGAAATTGAAGAAACAGAAGCTTATGGCTTGGAAGTAAATTCAGCATAAAATAAAATGAAAATAAAAGTAAAAGGAGAAAAAAAAATAGGTCCAATGTTTTTGTTAATGCTCATATTTTCCCTACAGTGTTATTTATTTACCAATGATAGAATTTATGAAAAATTTATGTAAATATGTTCCTCATAATGTATTAAACAAAAATGTTCTTTCCCTTATTTTTGAAGTTCTATATAGATTTACTACGTTGTTGTTGTTATGTGCTGTCGAGTTGGACTCGACTCATAGCGACCCCTCCTTGGGTTTCCGAGGCAATAACACTACGTAAGTAGATTGCCCCATCTTCCTTCCAAGGAGTGGTTGGTGGGTTTGAACCACCAGCCTTCTGGTTAGCAGTCAAGTGTCTTAGGCACTACGCTACCAGAGCTCCTAGATTTACAATAGACCTGAATTTTTCTTTACTGATATTTTCATTATTTCATTTTTAGAATTATTGTAAGCAACTTCAAGTCCTTTGGAATAATAATTTAGTAAATTAATAATCATACATTAACATAAAAATAAATTCCTTATTAAAACCACTTAAATTTAGTTCATATAACAGAATATATGAAATTAAAATTAATATTTTCATTTACTATCATAAAAGAGTATTTTCTAGTTAGGAATAAAAACAGTAATGCCATTAATTTTTATATATAAATACATATCAGGGGAGTTCCCACAAGATGGCGGACTAGGCAGAATGACTGCACTGACCCTCTTCAACAAAGAAAAGGGAAACCAAATGACACAGACACAGAAGATAATCTTGGACCCCTGAGCCTTGAAGGGAAGGATATAGAAGTAGACTAAACCCCAACTAACAGAAGAATTTGTGTGAAAATACCAAAAAAGGAGACATACGGAGCTGCGGACTGGCAGGGACCTTAGCGCCCCTGATGGCACAAAAGGCTTGGACATTCCCAAATGGTGGTAGGACCTAAAAATTAACCTAAAAATCACCCTTCTAGCCAGGGACTGCGCGGACTGTGCACAGTGGCTGGGGAACAAACAGAGAAGGTAAAGAGAAAGGTGGGCTGAGTTGTGGACTTTTGCTGGTCCAGAGGGCACCACCATTCTGTAGGGTTAAAAAGCAGCTTGACTATTTTGAATATTTAAAGAGACAGCACTCTCACAGATTCCTGTGGTGGTAGGACTTAAGAATTAACCTAAAACCCTCCCTGCTAGCCAGGTACTGCACGGAGGACTGTGCATGGTGGCTGGGGAACAAACAGAGAAGGTGAAGAGAAAGGTGGGTTGAGTTGTGGACTTTTGCTGGTCCGGAGGGTGCCGTCATTTTGTAGGTTTAAAAAGCGGCTTGACTATTTTGGATATTTAAACAGACAATGCTCTCGCAGATTCCTGTGGTGGTAGGACTTAAGAATTAACCTAAAAATCCCCTGCTAGCCAGGGACTGCACGGAGGATTGTGTACGGTGGCTGGGGAACAAACGGAGAAGGTAAAGAGAAAGGTGGGCTGAGCTGTGGACTTTTGCCGGTCCAGAGGGCGCCAACGTTTTGCAGGTTTAAAAAGTGGCTTGACTATTTTGGATATTTAAAGTGACAGTGCTCTTTCAGATTTCTGGGGCTTAAGATCACGTTCTGCTTTCCAGCAACCCCAAGGACACTTGGGGCCTGCAAAACTGAAAAGGTA